AAAAAAAACAAAAAAATATACATTATATATTATATTTTAAGACTCCCGCCAAAATATTTCGGAAAAATATTAAAATTTACATCGGCTGGAATTAATTGAAAACAAAATAGAGTTTAAAATAAAATATAAATAAAATAAATAATGAAATTGGGTTTTAAAAATAGTTTTTCTAAAAAATCAACTCAGATGATAGAAGAGTTTTAGCTCAAAAGGTCTGCATAAAATTAAAAAAAAAAAATTTATCTTCGGCATCGAAGCAATGAGATTTTTGGAGTTATTTTCAAATCGGACTAGCTCACGCGGTCAACTTGGATTTAGCACATTCTGAAAGTCTATTTTTCGAACGCTTTTTCAAGGAACGAATGCCGCAACGAACGATAACCGTTTGCATAATGCTGCCTTCCAATGCGTTCAAAGTTTCCGCTTTGTTCACAGAAACCAATAGCATCACATAACCCCAGAGAAAATAGTCGAGCTGCGTTAAATCGCCCGCTCCTGGTGGCGAATCGACTGGCCCATTTCGTTAAATAACGCGTTCAACAGATGTTTCCTTCAAGGCATCGATTGTTTGACGCATTGTACAGCATGTGGCGCCATCTTGCTGGAAAAACATATCTACAGTCAACATTCCATTCAATTGGGGCCCCGAAATGATCGGCAATCGCGGCGCTATAGCACCAGCCGTTGGCGATAACGTTCTCAGCGTCTTTATTTTTGAAGGGGGAAGGCATCAACGAAAGCATACCAAAAAGTAGATGTTTTGTTTTTTTTTGTGGATGCTAGGGGGTCTTTTCACTTCAAATGCGACAACTTTGCTTAATGGCATGTAGATGGAGCTAAAATTAGCCAAATCACCGCACAGAATTTTCCAATTGCTTTTGTAATTAACAAATTTACAGAATTTGCAAGCGTCATTAAATTTTAGAACATTAAGAATATATGTATGTACATATGTACATATTTATATGCATTAGACCGTATTAGAAAAAATGGGAACGTAGGCGTCGCGTCGCCTGTTTACATTTTTCATCATATCTTGCGCATTTAAATTTGAGACAACTTTTTTGTACAAAAGCTCATTGACGGCAAGTACCCTGTTCTGGTATACTTACGCACCAGATCTCAGCTTTTATCAACCTAACGTATTACCCAAATATTGGTAAATTAAAGCGCTTCAAAAACCATTACGCTTTTGCTGAAGAAGTTTTTCGATTGTTCCAGTGGAGCTATTAAAAAAAAAATTATCGCCGTATGTGGGCGCCACCCAAAATGGTACGGTCTAATGTACCTACATACATACCGTTACCTTCATATAGAAAGGCTNGCGACAACTTTGCTTAATGGCATGTAGATGGAGCTAAAATTAGCCAAATCACCGCACAGAATTTTCCAATTGCTTTTGTAATTAACAAATTTACAGAATTTGCAAGCGTCATTAAATTTTAGAACATTAAGAATATATGTATGTACATATGTACATATTTATATGCATTAGACCGTATTAGAAAAAATGGGAACGTAGGCGTCGCGTCGCCTGTTTACATTTTTCATCATATCTTGCGCATTTACATTTGGATCTTAAAGTAGCGGCACGGAACATTTTTGTTTCCATAGAAATCGAAATGCTTGGATAGTAAGAAGGTGCTTTTTTACAAAGGTACATAGGTGCTTAAAAGAGCTCAAGACGCAGGTGTAACCTTAGCCAAGAATGAAAAGATAAATTCAGAAAGATTTTCTTTGTCTTCTTTGCGTGACACGGTAAAAAACGGAGTCGGGGTTTTTGTTTGAAGGAGACAACTTTTTTGTACAAAAGCTCATTGACGGCAAGTACCCTGTTCTGGTATACTTACGCACCAGATCTCAGCTTTTATCAACCTAACGTATTACCCAAATATTGGTAAATTAAAGCGCTTCAAAAACCATTAAGCTTTTGCTGAAGAAGTTTTTCGATTGTTCCAGTAGAGCTATTAAAAAAAAAATTATCGCCGTATGTGGGCGCCACCCAAAATGGTACGGTCTAATGTACCTAAATACATACCGTTACCTTCATATAGAAAGACCCTAACTCATTTTCTTTCGAAACCCAGCTGTGTACAAAAGTCGGCAGGCTGTTCAGTAAGGACCTAATAGAATTTAAAAACAGCTACTACATCAATTAATTTGTTTCAGTGTGTATTAAAAACCAAAGTTTTGGAGGAATATGCAACTGAAGAACTTTAGTATTTGTATAGCGTTATAACTACTCTGTTAAGAAACAAAAATCTGAGATAGGGCCTTGCTATATTAAGGTAACGATATGTATATATGTATGTATCTGTGTTCGTATGGAATAGTAGCTTCTGTCGGGAAGTTGGCTTTAGTATAATTCGGCATGCCCTTTATTCTTTAAACCACAAGACATTTTTTGATGTTTATTTGCCAAAAGTTCTTCAACAGCTCGGCGCCAGTGAGTCATTCGCAATCGTATGCTGCGAATGCCGCATTATACTAAAGCCAGCCTTTCATACATACGCTACTCTTCCATACGTACATACTATTTTGATTTTTCTAAATTTCATTATACTTTTCAGCAACGAGATTTAGGGCTAATTTTGGTTTGAAACATTTAGAGATTGGCCAGGTAGTAATAAAAATATCCAATTTACTCCGATTGGTGAAAACATAAAAAGTGGTTATTTATTTATTATTATTATGTATTTTTTAGAGATCAATTGAGTAGCGGTTAAACTTTTAAAATCATAACATAAACTTTGCAAGATATTTAAACCCTAACACTCGTACTTGGGTGCGCTCTTAAGCTTTGCGCCGTGTCAAAATTTGTAAGCGCAGCGCATATTTACAAGTTTTTACAATTAATTTTTTGTTGATTAATTTTAATAATTTTTTTTTATAAAAATGGGAGTTTCAACTTTGCGAAAAATTTAAAAAAGTCAACACACTGTAATAAAAATTTTAAGCTTTTTAATTCGACTTCGTAGAAGGATTTTGAGTAAGCGCAAACCTTGAAAATTAGATTTTCATGGTTATGTCACAGAATAAATTATATTTTTATAAAAAAAAAATTAAATGTAAACAAAAAATAATAAATTGTTAAACTTTTTCAATTTACGGTGCGCTTAAAATTTTGACACGGGGTGTATACATAGTATCAAATATATAAACAAAAAAAAAATTTCTTCAATACGATTTGAAATATTTTGTTCTATGTGTGATATTATAGTCACAATTCAAAAGACAAAACTGTGGAAATTAATCATCAATCATATTGAACATATTTTTAAGCCCTTGGTTTTCCAGCTTTTCCAAGTACAAAGGAATTCTTTACAACTTTACTATTTTTGAGCCAATTGTACGATGTTTCTTAGTGAATATACTAGTATTTATTTGTTGATTCTCAGATATTATCTAGTCAAACTTTATATCTTCTTTGCTCAATTATTTCGAAAAGCATTTATTGAAGTAGCCAGAGTACCAATAAGGGGTTTTTTTAATGCAATTTTTAAGTTTACAACTTTTTTTAAGTTGCACTCTTTTTTCTTAAATTTTATTTGTATGTACATATTTATGCATATGAAGTTATTTGTCATGGTATGCTCATGCTTTAGTATTTTTTAAAAGCTTCTTTCATAGATTGATGGTAATTTGATAGTAATACTTATACTTATACATATTTTGATTTTTTTTTGGGAAANTGATGGTAATTTGATAGTAATACTTATACTTATACATATTTTGATTTTTTATGGGAACAGTAATAATTGTTATTAAAATTACAGATCTAATCATCTTCTGCGAGTTAACTTACTAAATACATACTTCATACCGTTAGCATAAACTTATAAAATATTTTTTTTTTTAGGTTTGGTTTAAACTTATTTGTTTTTTTTTTTGTAAGTTACAGTTAAGATTTTTTAGAGGATTTAACACATTTTCGCTTTCAAGTTTTACAAACTTTTTTTCTTTTAATATACAGTATTTTCAATTTGGAGATGCAGATTTACAGCCACATACCATTCTATGTTTTTAAAAACTATTTTCACTTTGATTAAACTTGGTTTTCCGTTCTAGAAAAATAATTAAAAGATCATTGTTGTTGCTAACAATTTTTATATTTATATTCCGTCTTTTGAACCTCATTTCTTAACCGGCATGCATATCAAAATTTTCATATTAATTAAAAAAAGAAAATTTTTGAATTTTTCACACACCCTTACATCAACTCACAAAACCTCCGTCCTCACTCTTCATTTATGCAACCATCTCTCTTGCGCTTCCTCCGATTTATTGCTATATTTCACTTACGCACCTCCTTGTTCTCCTGCAACTTCTTCCAGGTATCACCCAACGCCTTGGCAAAGTGATCATCAACCGAAGCATTCACCTCAGTGATACTCGTCGGCGAAGAGGTTGAGGTTGGTGAGGCTGGTGGCGTATTCGTTGCCGACATCCCCGGCTCAGTTTTGATGCGCATTATCGCCGGCATAATGGGTGGTGGCGTTGCTGTCGCTGTTGGTGGCGTAGACGAGGAGGACACAAAAGTCGATGGCAACGGCGGCTGCGGAGGTGGTGTTGCCGCAGCAGTGGTTGAGTTTGGTGACTGCTGTGGTGTTGCCACCGGCGAGCGTGAATTACTGGTTGAGTGCAGCTCCAACGCAGTTTGGCTGCGCAATGAGGCTGTGTGTGGGAATGTTGGTGGTGGCGGCGGAGGCGGCGAGGAATGCAACGCCGCGCTTGTTGTTGTTGGTGGTGGTGGTGGTGGCGATTGAGCTGGCAGGCCGCGTGCATTTAAATTGGGCGGCGTACTACTGCGTTGTGTAGTAGCCAATGCTAGTGGCTGCTGTTGTGGTGGTGGCAAAGCAATGGCGATATGCTCCAATTGATGTGGCGATAAGCTTTCAGCTTTGACTGAATGCTGTGCCGCCGCAGCGTACATGGCGGCCGAAGAGAGCAAGACCGCTGCTGGCTTTGGTGAAATGAGCGCTTGCGGTGCGCCGGCGGCGGCAGCGGCGGCGGCGGCGGTTGCATGATAGGGCGGCAAAGCGCTTGGCGCCGGCGCATGTCCGACAATTAATGCCTGCGTTGCAATTGGCGACGCGGACGCGACCATTGGTGGTGGTGTGGGCGTTGGCGTATTTATGACAGCTGTGGTTGTCATTGCGGCTGCACTTGGCTGCGGTGATGGTGTGGTTGGATTATGACCGGGCGACTTCTTGCCAAAGAGCGCGGCATAGTCGGGACCCAGCGAGCGGCGAAAGTGTTCATCGATCACCGTTTCACACATGGAAATGGATTCTACAGAAGTAAAAAAAAAACAATTTAAATATATAATATATATATTTTTTACAAAATTTTCTGTGCTGACACTTACCAGTGCTGCGATTGTCATTCTCGCGATTCGCCAGCAATTCGCGATCGCCACGCTCACGTTCGCGTTCGCGCTTCGATGGCGCCTGTGTGATAACGCTAGGGCGCGCCAGCGCAGTGGCATATGTGGAGCCAGGCAATGGCGCGCGATAAGGTGGCGGCGGCGAGGATCGATGCTTCAACGTCGACGACGATACCGACATATCAATGGGACTCTCCATGCCACCGCCTTGATGATGATATGCCGCAACTACGGCAGCAGCTGAGGAGTTCGATGGCGGTGGCGTTGGGCGATTAGTGGACTCGCAAAGCGGACGCATTGCTGCAGCCATCATAATAGACATGGGTGGTGGTACGCCACTGTGCACCGTTGCGGTGGCATGATGATGCGCGCTCACTGGTGATGTTAAGCCAGGACAAACCGTTAGTGGCGGTGGCGTGCCAGCAGGCGAGAGGCTGCTCGACGATGAGGCGGCGGCGGCGGCGGCGCTGCCCAGCGCGGGGTATTCACCGGCACGCGAGCGACGCTCACGACGCCAACGAGCAGTAGGCAGTTCTTTTGATGAAATGCGACCCTCTGAAAGAAAATTATAAAAAAAAGAAAGAAAAATTATTAGCCATTTTTCCGGTTCTTGGGTAAAGGTTAATATACTTTAACAAGGCGATAAGCATATAAGTATGTATGTATTTAGGTATCTTTTTTTGGCAACCAACATGGGCTTTAAGAATGTCTGCCATTTATTGCAACTCTAAAATTTGCTAAACCTCATTTTTGTGATCACAGCACATACAAATGAGACCTGGCGGTAAGCCAACAAAACCGTATGCAGAAAAATAAATGTATATACCTACATATAGTAGAAATAAACGTTATGTACATATGTATGTATGTATGTATGTAACTATGAACCTAGTCATTGAAAATTCATCACATGCCTTCGAAACGCGTCAACCACAGCGACAACAACTTCAATGGCAACGTCAATGCGCTGGCGTTTTTTTGCTTTGGCTTTGGCTTTGATCGTCGCTCGTTGGTTGCTGGTCACCGCTGCCGCCATTCAGACATGTTCGCGCATATTTAATAACGAAAATAAAAATAAAGTACACCAAACACACAAGCGCAAACTTCCATACGAAGTGTGCAAAAAATAAAAAAAGAGTAATGTCAATTGGATATTGACAATAAAAACAACGAAGCTTTCAGGCGCTGTTTAACTGAAGCGTAGGTGTTATGATTCATGAATCACGATCTTACATGTTAAACATATTTGTGCGCCTGCTGGGATAGAGGAGGAAGAAAAATGTCATTCTTAGTGCGAATAGTTCCCATTTAAACTCGCATGAAATTGAAACATATTTTTGAACTAGAAAATTAAACGCTTAACTTATCCTGCTAAATTAGGTCAGCGGTAATCTGACTGGCTATTCGGCAACATACATATATGTTTGGATATTTTATTCGCTAGCGCTAAAAATTAGGAAACTAAAAAAAAAAGAAAAAATACTGAACACTTTAAAATTTGCGTTATTAGACTACACGCATAAATTATTGCAGGTGGCAACCCTAGTCAAAAATATTCTTGGTACGAAGTGTTTCTAAAGTTTAAAGACCTTGTTTGATTATTTTAATGCACACATGTGTAATTTATTTCATTAATTCAAATTGTTTCGAAAAGGTGGCAGCTCTGTTTAATAATACTTTTCAGATAAAGCTTTTATTTTTTGCTCACAATGCAAAAGTTTACTTAACTTAGATACACACGCAATTATTTTATTTTCTAGATATATGGCAACCCTACTCAAACAATTTTCCACAATGGCGTATTCTAAAATAGAGTTTGGCAACTCTATTTCAAAATAATCCTGCTTTAAAGTACTCTTAAAACGCTTTCGTTTTATATGCATATTGCAATAAGTTTTTCTATTAACTTGATCTATGCTCATTTACGATGCTGAAGTTCGCTTCTTAAGTCTTTTGTTTAATCACAGCCGATACTGTGCATGTGTGCTACTGTAAATGTTTATTTTAAGCAAAAGTGCATAAGAAATCGTGTGCAAATATTCATTTGGCTTATTAAACCGATATCGATAAATATATCGATAACCAACTTGGTGATAGTATATCAATGATGTTATCGAAAATTATAGAGGCAAATATATGTATCTACATTAATATCGATAACGGCTTGACACGCAACTATATCAATAACTTAACGAATAACGGTATCGATAAATATATATATATATATATATATCAGTTGTACGTATGTAGCAAATATGTATAGCAGTAACGTTGTACTTAGTAAACTTGAGTATGTAATTCCTAAATTTATCGATAAATCATGCGATTAAATTATCGGTGAATGTGTCGAATACAATATACACAACGCAGTAAGACAAGAGTATCGAAAAATCGATAAATACATACATCGATAGAAAACTCGATATCAGTATGTTGAACACATTATCGATATTTGTATGATAAAATTCGTATAACATTGATATTGAGAACGGTTGTTCTAAGCACATCGATGGGAAGATCGATAAATATCAAAAATTAAATTGATAAATTTAAAAGTCGATTAAATTATCGATATACTTTTATGAGGTTATTTATGTATATTACATGTGGCTAAAATATAAAATATATAATAAATAAAATTAGTTTTTCTAAAAGCTGTTTTTTTTTAATTGATGACGTTGATAACGGCTCTGATGAATATATTCAATAAGAACGATAAATAAAACAAAAACAATTAAAATCGACAATACTATCTATAAAAGTTTACGTGGTTAGGAATATTTATGCTGCTAAAATATCGTTAAAAATTATCGACATATTATCTACACAAAATTTGCACTAAAACCTTCTAATTCTTCCTACACACATCTCAAGAGAACCCTAAGTCTGCGTTTTACCAGAATCATTTAAGTGAAAATATATTTTAATTTTTGAATTTTTGGTTTCAATTTTAATTTGTTGTTAATTTTGATTTAAGTGGCCTATGATCTTCACTGAAATAAAAATTAAATTGGAATACCCACACTCAGGGATGTTATACGTTCAATCAGCTGATCAGTATACACAAACCACATACTACCACTTTTAGCACGGTGCTGCCATGTTTTTACTAACTTAAATAAAAAGCTTATTGAAACTGATAAAAAATTCAATTGAGAATTAAACAAAAAATTAAATTGAAATTAATTTCTACTTAAATGAATCTGTTGAAACGCAGCATAACAATTTTGCAAGAGGCTTGTCAGTTTTTTTTTTTTTTCAAAAGGAAAACTGTAATCAATAGGCGGATAAGCTCAAGTAAATGAAAACCAAACAAGATAAGAAATACAATGCAAAAAACTAGCAGATAAAAAGTCAGAAAGACAAAAAAGCAAAACAAAGCAAGTAAGTTGTGTACATATAACAAATCATACAAATGGAAGGAAGTACACGGCCGCGAATTTGAAACTAAGTGAGCAGCTACAATGGCAGCATTATTAATAAACAACGAAAGTCTACAATGTTTAAAACACACGACAAACACCAGACTATGAAAGTGAGCGCATAAAGGAATACAGATTATATATAAAAAAAAGAAAATAGAAACCAAAAAATTAATAAAAAAGCAAAAAAAAAATAGAAAAAAGAGAGTATGGCACAACAAAAAAAAAAAGATAAACACAAACACAAACGGCTGTGCGGCAGCAATCAAGTTGAAAGCAAACCAGTTTGCTACCACAATACGCGCGCGCCTTGCTGTGCTGCGCTTTTCTACGTCGACTTGATCATGCCACCAACACCATAGAAATCACAACAACAGTCCCGACGCCGCCACGGGCATTTGAAATCACAATAACAAAAACCTGCTTTTGTTTTGCTGCTTGCAAGCCACTTCTCACTTTGGAGGCTTTTGTCTTCATTTATTTTTCTTTTTTAGTATATTTTGCTGTTTGGCGTTTCCACCTTTACACATTTACATTCACGTTCACGCCCCATCTTTTCGCAGTCATCACACAATGTGCGTGTAAGTATTTCTGAGTGATGTTGGGGCACTTGGTTGTTTTTTCTTTTAGTTTTAGTTTTTTTTTTTGCTTTACTGCGTTGCGTATAAAATTTATGATTTAATATGAATGTGGTACATACATATGTACATACTAGGGATGTTAATTTTTTTCGATTTTTACGATCCCGGGATTTTTGGGATATCGTTGGTTCAATCCCGGGATCAGTCCCGGAATTTAGATATTTATTATTTTTCAACAACTTGCAAATTGCATCAATATGGTGTGAGCTGCTCTCCTACCATAACTACAATAAATAATAAGTAAACNTTTTTTTTTTTGCTTTACTGCGTTGCGTATAAAATTTATGATTTAATATGAATGTGGTACATACATATGTACATACTAGGGATGTTAATTTTTTTCGATTTTTACGATCCCGGGATTTTTGGGATATCGTTGGTTCAATCCCGGGATCAGTCCCGGAATTTAGATATTTATTATTTTTCAACAACTTGCAAATTGCATCAATATGGTGTGAGCTGCTCTCCTACCATAACTACAATAAATAATAAGTAAACAGGTTTGGAACGTTGTTTTTTATTTAAAGTGAAAATTATTTCATAAGCAACAAAACGAAAGACAGTAATTAAATTTATATGCATTTAATAATACTTTAGCATATAGTACATATCTGATAAAGTAATTCAAGGTATGTTAAAAAAAGCTCGATGCAAAGAAAATTAAGTCAACAAATTTATTTTCTGGTTGAAATAAGTTCATATAATACTAGTGTTAGTTTTGTCTATATTCCTTTTGTTTATTGTAAGCCTAAATTTTTTTTATAAAATTTTACCTCATCTCATATTACATATAATGAACTGCATATAAATGGGCATTTCTCTGACGTCATGATTTTTTTAAAAAGACTTTATAATTACAAAGATAAGACTATTTCCAAAATTCATTTAAAAAATTCAGTGCAATGTAAAACAAAAACATGGGTACCAAATGAAATCGTTTTTTTGGGTTCACAAGGACGAATCTATTTTATTTTTTTAGGCTAATAAAGTTAGTGCGCGGTTTTGCAGAATGACGATACGCGGTTTTGTACTTAAAAAAAATTTTGAGTATTAAATAAACAAAAGAAATATAGCTAAAACTGGTCAACATAAAGCGTTTCTATTATTGCCGCCAGTGTAAATTACAAAACCTAGAATCCCGGGATTTTCGGGACTTAAAAATACCGGGATTAAAATTACTAGTACATATATACATGCATATATAAATTTATACGTACCCGAATAAATATGTAAGTATTTACGCCGGAATTACTTTTTGTGAATATAAATAAGAAGTGTAGCGATCTCGCTGGCTATTTTATTTAATAGGGCCTTGGGCTATTCTTTCATGGTGTCTACGAAAAAACACTGCAAACTCGCCAAGAGCATTGGTGTTGTCAAAAGGACCTAACCACTCTACATACCTTTCAACTGAGGCGACCACCTGCATCTCTTCTGTGAGTGAAAGAGAGCCCATTGATGATAATTTTTCCACTGCTGGCGCAGTGTTGAGAGTTGAACCCTTTAAGGTAAAGATAAGCCTAGTAGAATAAAGGATGGCTCAGTGGAGTGGGAGCGATAACAGTATTTCTTTGGGCAATGGAAAACTGGAAAAAGCAAAACTTATTCTTGTCGCTAGATAGAACTGCAGATCTAGGAACAGCAGCGAGTCAATAAGCCGAGGAAACTAACATTGAAGAGTTAGCGATTATTGGAAAACAACTTAAGTAAAACTTAGAGGAAAAGATCTTACAGGCATATATGTAGGTACCTTGGATCAATACCGACCTAAGCCTTCATACGAGACAGCACCGTTTATTCTTCGCTTTCCACGTTGGATATGGAAGTAAAGCGATGGAGGTGCACGAAGACAAGACGAAGTATCTTCTGTTTCCCACCGAGAAATTACTGCATAGAAATATTTTAATATGTATTAATTTTTTGAGACTTATCGTAATTGCAAAACCAAAAGTAAACCTCTTTTCCGGTGTTGCTGCTATTGTAAATAGTCTAATCTGTTTGCATAAATTATGACTTTCATTAAGTTGTTAGTTACACTTACAGAGCAGAGTATTTTCTTGTGTATACTATGTGCAAAAGTGAAAAAAATTTATTTTACGTACACATTTTACACGCCGTTGTACGCTACATCAGAAATAAATAAATGGATGTGTGTGTGTGTTTGTGCTGTCACTCTTCATTGTGCTACCAAATCAATATTATGTGGTGAATTAATTTGTTACGATGCAAAATATTTAAGAGCATGCAATAAAAAGCAAAAGTAAAGCACTGCTGTGAAAAAAAAAACAAATGGGTACAAACTTTTCTGAAACAAAAAGTTAACTTCATGAATACAATAAAATAACTTTCCCACGAATTTTTAATCCAAAGTATATTTCCTTTTTAAATTAAAGTAAATTGGATTTGGACTTATAAATCTACATTAGACCGTACCACAAGCAAACAAAAAAGTTCGTCGTATACCACTGAGTCGGAAGTATTTTTGCAGGACAATTTCGAAACATTTGTTTTTTCTTTTTTGGTTTTTTTTTGCCAAACCTAGCGGGTGGGTCACCTTTATACATTTTTCGGTGACACCTAAATTCGACAATAAAATTTTGTTTATTTAGTTCTACTAATGGTTTTTGTTGAGCTTTGATTTACTGACATAAGGGTGGTACTTGAGCGCGATAGGAGTTGAGATTTTGTGCGAACTACCGGAACGGGATACTTGGATCAATGAACATTGGAACACCAAAATTGTCTCCTCGGTATACTTATCATACTTAGTAAGATACGACTGTAATTGTCGAAGACTAAAAATCCGAAAAAGCGACACTTTTGCTCGGCCAAAGATTTTTTTCGAAATTGCCTTGCGAAAATTCTTACGAATTAGAGACGTAAGTCGAATTTTTTTTTTCGGTGCGGTGTAATGTACATATGCACATTAGGGTGATCAAAAAATTTCGTAGAAGTGGTATAGAATCTTGAAAACTCGTAAAACTCTGTTTCTTTTCTGGAGACTTTCAATAATAATACCCAATTGTTTATTTTACCATTTCTCAATATTAACAATTTTTTACGTTCTCCAAAAACTTCTAAAAATGCAATGGGGAGCCAAAAAAATCGCTGGTATCAAAAAATGGTAAAAAAAACAATTGGGTATTATTACGGGAAGAGAAACAGAGATTTCCGATCGAAAAATATTGATTTTCAAGAAAAATGATTTTCCATTTCTAAGAATAATTGTTCTTTCCCTATATAAAATACATGGAAATCTTTGAGCGACCAATAAATGTTTTTGATACCGAAATAAAAAAGCACGGGTATATTTTTTCGGCATGGAACAACCCAGCAAAAAACACGATTACCACAGAAACGAAAGTGGAAACGAGCTAGGCGATGGGAATCGCTTACCCTTTCGCTACAAGAAGGCCTTATTTTAACATGGGCATGTCATTGGAGGTAAGCCCTTACCCGCAGCATTACCTTCAAACGAAGGGAGAACGCATGGATAAACAGAATCCAGAGAAGCGAACAAAGAATGCCTTACAGAGAAACTAATGTAGAATGCCTAGATAAGTACATACTTATTTATATTAAATTGAAATCAGAAAATGTCTTAAAAGATTAAAATTAATTCAAATTTTTATAAATCAGCTTTTATACATACATATGTATTTATTTAGGTATTTAGATTTACTTAAAAATCGGTATGTACATACATGCATATTTAACTAAGCTTAAAATTGTACTTCCTCACTCTTGTACTTCACTTCATTGACTGACTTCAACTTCGCTGCAAATTGAACAAAGCAAAACATGATTTTTATGCGAGACAAATTTCCACAGAAAGTAACGGTAGAAAAAGAATTTTTGGGTATTCATTCTATTTTTCAGCTGACTACGATGCAGCATTCTACTTTGCATTCTCCGAAATGAAGCAAAGAAGCGAAATAAAAAAAATATTGTAGGACATTCTACTTTGCATTCCCTGAAATGAAGCAAAGAAGCGAGACAAATAAAATATTGTAGGACATTCTACTTTGCATTTCCGGAAATGAAGCAAAGAAACGAATTAAAAAAGAAATATTATAGGACATTCTACTTTGCATTCCCCGAAATCAAACAAAGAAGCGAAATAAATAAAATATTGTTGGACATTCTACTTTGCATTACCGGCAATGCCTAAAAGAAGCGGAAAAATTCGAAGGCATTATAACGCTATGCCTTCTAGAACACGTTACCACTAAAAGCGATTACCGATTTTTTGCTGGGAATCCTAGGCGGTGAGAACATAAAAAATGGGACTTAAATTCTTGCCCACCCCACCTGGATTTTTGGACCACCCTAATGTCCACACATACATACATACGGGTATTAGATACGGGTATTTGGTGGTTTTATGTGCCATAACTTTCGGTATGTAATATTTTTGTGAAGGAGCCTAAGGAGTCTATTAACAATTCTGCTCATCATGATTTTTAGTTGAAATCTGTAGTTGTTATGTTTACGTTAAAATAAAAACATCTGTTCTTTTCCACAAAATTCCTTGGAATTTCATAATGTTTTCGGAGCAATAATGGTCACAAACTGATTCAAAACCTGCGCTTTTCTCGCGATAAAATGCTCCAGTGAAAAGCTTTTGGGGTTCCGGAAACATGAATAAATTTATATTGCTAATACCAGCATATTCATATTTCCATACATACTTACATAGCTAAATACAAATTGGCAGTTGTTACATTTATGTTTATAGCACATAATCGTATTAATTTAATGCTCATTTCATTTTCTTTGCACGTACGTACGTGATAATTTTTTCAAATTCCAATACCCCACTAAGGCAAAATATATAAAGACATACATACATATGTACATATTTTGGTAAGTATTCCATACACAAGGAAATATGTTTGGTGTGCACCAATTT